TCTTGTTCTGGTGGTGTGGATTGACGTGCCCCTTGGTAAGAAGTATCTTGACAACATCTAGATGGCCATTCTCCACGGCATCAATGAGCGGTGTGTCACGATCTCCGGACTCACAGTCTGTTCGACAGCCTTTCTCGATGAGGAACTCGACGACTTCAGCCCATCCGTTCAGAGCGGCCTTCTGCAGAGGTGTGATACCGGCGAAATCGGCTTGGTCCAGTTCGCCTGTGGCTTCTTCGTAGGCAGCCTTGACAGCGTCCAGATCACCCTTTTCGCTTTCCCTAGCCAGTCGCGTCGCACCGAATCTATCGGTCTTCCGGCCATGGGGCATCGTCCGCGCTGGAGAAGTCATTGCTCGGCCTGTGCCGCGCTTGACACGCGTAGTTGGATTTGCGTCCGAGGCTCGTGGTGAAGAGGAACGCTCCGAACTGGAGTCTGAGTAACGTTCGATTGAAACGGCGAGACCTGGTACCTCTCTGCGTTTGCGTCCGGCAGCACCAGAAACAACAGACTGTGTCGACTGTGAGCGCTTGTGTTGGCGGCCAAAAGCTCCCTGAAAGAAAAAGTTAGCAACAACGCACATGATCAAGACCGTCGCTAACACATACTGTTGCAGGTGAGTTGGGCTGTGTACGGTCTTTCAGCCCTTCTGTCTTGGCTTTCTGTCGTGGAGGCTCTAGCTTTCCAAACTCGTCACGCAGCTTACGTTTTCGACTTTCGACTGTGGAGGCGCTGCGGCCTCGTGTGGCGGTCTGCGCAGGAGACAGAGCAGGATGCGTTGGCGATGCGGCTGGGCTGGTGTCCTTGGTCTGTCTTGAGCCTGTGCTTGGAGAAGTGGGCACGGGGCTCTTCGCGTCGTCAGAGGCATCTTTTGCATGTCCATTCGATTTGGCGTCTTTGGCATCGCTAGAGCGCCTGCGGCCGTTCTGCGGTGAATGCGAGTGTGTGTTTTCTTTGATGGAGTCGAGCCTCGCGGGTTCGTCTTCGTCGCGCTCAGTCTTGATCACCTTCTTCTCGTTCGAATCGTCGTCTCGTGACAGCACGACCGTCTCGGCCTCGGATTCGTTCTCGTCATGATCGCCGTTTTGCGTGGCTGGCACGTTTTGTTTGTGTTCTTTGGCAGAGGGCGAGGCAGCCTTGGGTGCAGGCTGGGCAGCGTCGCCGGAGTGGTTGCGCGGGCTTCGAGGGGCGTCGAGAGATGCGTTCAGGTCGCCATTACTGGTCATCACGCATATATGGGACAGGACACGGGAGTTCCTGCCTCATGACGGCTTGCAGAGCAAGGGCGGCAGGCGTGGGCGGCAGGCGGACTGAACGCGGCGCTTTGCGTCCTAACACGGAAGGGCCGTCGCGTGATGGGTCGTGGTGCCCGTTGCGACACCAAAGGGAGGCGTGCGTGGTCGACGGCGTGTTGTTGTGATGGGCGAGGCGTGTGGAGGTGCTGGGTGCTGGGAAGAGAACAGGCGGACGAGCGCTGGACGATAGCAGGCAAATGCTGCGGGCCACTCAGAGCGCTGCACCAGCGCTGGTCTGCGCACCGGTCCCGGCCCCAGGCCCACCCCTGCACGCAAGCGTGCATCGTCATTGTTGCTTCGAGGCGCATGCTGGAGAGACGCGATGGAGGCTCGAGGAGGGAGAGGAGAAGAGAAGACGAGGGCGCTCGACGAGGAAATGCGCGTCTCCAGAGTGTGTCCTGCCCGGAGAATGTTCATGTTGACTCCCAGAGACCCTCAACCAGCACCACGAGCACCGCGGGTGAGGTAGCCCAATTTGCCGCTAACCGTGGATCGGCGCGCCAATTAACCTCATCAATCCAGCCTGCAGCTCTGCCCGTGACCTTGTTTTGCGCTGCAACATGCAGCATGGGGGCGGAGATGGCATCGAGCGTTTCAGAAATCAGATTCCCGTTGGGTTTCGCCGCTCAGAACGGCGCTGGAAGCCTGCTAGAAACTGGCGGCGGTCAGCGTCCTCTGGGTCAGCTGTGGGCAACCGAATTACCTTCGGTAGCTCGTTTCAGGCGTGTGGGCTAATTGGCGCAACTCGAGTCCACAGCAACCAGCGCATCACTCTTTCATCACTCAACCTCCCCGCACGCCCTGACCATCCACCGTCCAGCACTCGTGAACGTCCCCCACGATGGACTCGTCAGCCACTGGGAGCCAGGTCGACGGCCTGCTCAGCCCTATAGTCCTCCTGCGCGCTTTCTACCTCGCCGCCTCTCTTCTTGTACTGCGACACCCCGCCAGCCTGACTGCGCTACACTGACCTGCTCTGCTTACTAGATCGTTGTTATACAGGCTGTCCCGGCTCTGCGCAGCCGCTTTCTTGCCTACGGCTCTCGTGCGACCTCGACGTCCGGTCAGTCATCAGCAGCACCGCGTCAGCCTTCGTCCGCCAGCGAGCTGCTGGATTACGCAGCATCGATACAGGTGCCACACAACTACTTCACCCATTTCTATGTCCTCTCAGTCGCCTGCTCGCTGTTCTGGGCGTGGCGGCTGCAGATTTGGTCTGCCAGTGCGCAATTGCAGGTGGTGTGGGGGTTGATGCTTCTCCAAGGCTTGCGCCGCATGCTCGAGTCGAGTGTCTTTACTTCGACGAGTACAAGTAAGATGTGGTTCGCACACTGGCTGCTCGGGCTCGCTTTCTACCTGACCATCAATATTGCCGTCTGGATAGAAGGAGAGGACTCTGCCAGCGCTCTGACCGACCGGGAGACCAAGATCCTGGTCCCCGCGGTCCTCACAGCGCATGCACTCCAGCACTCCTACCACGCCTATTTGTACGAGCTGCGCACCGAGAACAAGGGCTATCGACTTCCCGCTCATCCAATTTTCTCGAATCTGCTGTGTCCGCACTACACCTGCGAGACTGCCATATACCTCCTGCTGTCTTTTCTGGCAGCCCCTGCTGGTAAGATTGTCAACTGGACGCTCTTGTGCGGCACCGTTTTTGTAGCCGTCAACCTTGGAGTGACAGCGATTGGTACCAAGGAATGGTACATCGAGAAGTTCGGCAGAGACAAGGTAGGTCCGCGGAAGAGAATGGTACCCGGCATCTGGTAGTCGTTGCACGATGGCAAACGTGGAATCTTGATTCGAATCTAGCATATCCAATGCAATTCGATACATCCAATGGCACCTTCCTATTCAGGCTATTTCAAGTCCCATCACCCCAGCAGAGGTCGAATCGCTTTTATCCTCCGTGCAAGTGCTGCGTATGTTCAAGCTTGAGCTGCAAGCCACCGCTCACTCCAATCAGAATACAATACCCGAGCCGGCTAATTGCCCAGCTCTCCCGTTAGTGGTGGGGCATCGGCGGGGCATCTTGCAGCGAAGGCTGAAGGCGCGACTACAAATGCGTGGGCTGCATCCCTCTGGCGTGCTCAATCAAGCTGTTAGGAATCACATAAAGCAGCAGGGACTACGTCCTCAGACTCATAGACTCTTCTAAATTTCACGTGCTACCTTCCATCGCCTACCTCCACAGCCTTCAAGATGGCTGCCGAAGTCCCCAAAGACCTCCCAGAAATGGAGTACCGCTTCGCAGGCAGGAGTGGTCTTCAGATCTCTGCCATCTCCCTTGGCGGCTGGCTTACCTGTTAGTTTCCACTTACTTTCTCCAATGCCAAACTAACGCACCCAAGACGGCGGCCACGTCGGCGACGAGAACACCTTCGCATGCCTCAAAGCTGCCTTCGACTGCGGCATCAACTTCTTCGACGCGGCCGAAGGCTATGCCGGCGGTGAATCCGAGCGTGTCATGGGCCGCGCAATCAAGCACTTCGGATGGAACAGAAACGACATCGTCGTGTCTACAAAAGTAGCTTGACCACCACCACCACCGTCATCTTTGAGAGCGTGACTTAACGAGACCAGATCTACTGGGGTGCACACAACTCCGCGCTCACCGGCCCCCGCAGCAAAATCAACAACCTCGGTCTCTCGCGCAAGCACCTCATCGAAGGCACGGACGCCGCCCTCAACAGACTGCAGCTCAGCTATGTGGATATTGTGTACGCTCACCGGCCCGACAGACACACGCCCATCGAGGAAACAGTCCGCGCGTTCAATTTCCTTATCAACACTGGTAAGGCACTGTACTGGGGGACGAGCGAATGGCTGCCGAGCGAAATCGAGGAGGCGTGGGCGGTGGCTGATCGACTCGGCCTCATTGGGCCAGTGGTTGAGCAGCCAGGGTACAGTCTGTTGGTGAGAAGGAAGGTGGATGATGAGTTTCGGAATGCGAAGTTGTACGAGAGGAGGGGGTTGGGCCTCACTGTCTTCAGCCCGTTGGCCGGAGGTTTGCTGACAGGAAAGTATATTGACGGCGTACCAGAGGACAGTCGTTTGAAGAAGAGCGACGATCCATACATCCAGTCTGTTATGAAGACTGTGGATACGCCGGCGTGGAAGGAGCAGCAAGACAAGATTCGCGAGTTGATTAAGGTGGCGGAGAAGCTGGGCACGGATGTTGCGACACTGAGTATGGCGTGGGTCTTGAGCAACAAGAACGTCTCGAGTGCGATCACGGGTGCGTCGAGACCGGAGCAGATCTACCAGACCGTCAAGGCAGTAGATGTGTACAGGAAGTTGACGCCCGAGGTATTGGAGGAGATCGAGGGCATCTTCAAGAACAAGCCTGCTGAGGTAACGCCTCGGTTTGGTGTGTAGACGGAGAAACGGATTCGCGATATTGGAAATTATATGTCATTGCTTAAGCACACTTGTGAGATTGAAAAGCTGCAACCATACCCTGGGCCACAATGGAGTGAAACCGACCTGAAGCAGCATTACTTCGGTGTTGTTCCAACCCCACGTTATTGCAAGTGAATGGAAATGTGGAGCACCCATTTGTTGAGTTCTCTTGTGTACCCCACCTTACCGCTTGTGAGTCAGTCTGCAACCCGCAACTTCACCCGTCCAGATCTTGACAGCTGCCCATCCAAAACATTCAATACATATACCAACTTTGAGCGCCGTGTTTCTATAAATAGCATCGCTACTTTGGCCGAGCGGTTAAGGCGTGTGACTCAAGCTTCTCCAGCTTGCCTCCATTGGAGGTTTAAGTCTTCTCATAGACATTGTCTGCGGGAGTTCGAATCTCCCAGGTAGCATCACTCGTCGCTCTTCTTTGAGCGACAGAGGTTTTATTTTCGGCTTAGTGGTCTAGTCGTATGATTGCTGCTTCGTAAGTTATACAAATTCACTACTCCCCCACAATATCTAACAAAGCGTAGGGGTTTCTTACCCAGATACTAAGTATCGTGAATGTAGCAGGTCCCGGGTTCAAATCCCGGCTGAGCCCTGTTTTTTCGATGGGCTCTCTTCCTGAGAGATCTCTCTTCCTTAGAGAGGCCTCTTGTTGAAGTTGTGGTGGTGCTAGGCGAAGACGTGTGATCCTGCCTAGAACCACCTACTAAACCACCTTTTTGCGCACAAGACTCTTGAAAACAGCATTAAAAATTACAACACTGCACGTTCTTAGTCCTTTTTGCAACAGCTTCTGTTCTTGACCTCTAGACATGGCGACAGAGTGGTCGTTCTGCATCCGGCTAGCGCGCCACGTGAGCCCGCGTGCGCAGAAGTCCAAGCTCCCGCGACTGCCTGACAGGCTGCATCGCGCTTGCTGCTTCACGACCACACTCGTTATCTTCACTCTCGTCGCCACTCGTTTTCAAAAAGCAGCTGCTGATCTCCTCATCTCTTTACGCCGTCTAATTCTTTCGTGAACCGGCAAATCAATTAGCAAACACCAGCGTGTCCATCATCACAGGTGACGCGCCTTGAAAGAGCAAGGAATTACGACTGACTGCAGCAATGGCGGGTAAGGAAGCGACAATATACATTCTCGACCTCGGTCGGTCGATGGGCGAGAGGCGCCATGGTCGCGATCACACAGACCTGGATTGGGCGCTCGACTATGTGTGGGACAAGATTACAACAACAGTATGCAGACGTTCCTTTAGAGATCTAGTGCGTGGCGCAATGTGATTGCGTCGAGCAAACTGGGGCTTCGCAGTTGCGGGAAACGAAGCTGACATCCGTGCAGGTCGCGACAGGCAGGAAAACGGCGCTAATGAGCGTCATTGGTTGTCGCACTGATGAGACCGATCTTAACGGTGTTATGGAAGAGGCTGAAGGCTATGAGAATATTACGGTGTTTTCCGATTGCAAACAGTGCGGGCCTTGAATTCGATGGCGGCCAGCTTGCTGATGATGTTAAGGTACCTGTTGAGCGACATCCGGCGGTTGCAAGACAAGTTCAAGCCCAGCAAGACCAATGAAGGAGACCGTAAGTGGAAGGCGTCTCATTTAAATACCCTCACTCACACCTACAGTGGTGTCTGCGTTGGCAGTCGCTGTGCAGTTGATGGACAGCGCAACCTCGAACAAAGCCGGCAAGCCATTGAAGTACGACCGTCGGATCATTATCGTCACCGATGGAAGAGGAGAGATGGATGATGATGATCTGGACGCCATTGCACTGAAGGTCAAAGACGAGGAGGCGCCAATTGAAATCACCCTGCTCGGTGTTGACTTCGACGACCCTGACTACAGCTACAAAGAGGAAGACAAAGATGCTACGAAGGTACCGAATGCGCGCTGGTGATGGCACCGTAGCTGACATGAAGCAGTCCAAGAACGAAGGCGTCTTAAAGAGCTTCGTGGAGAGCTGTGATGGCAACTTCGGTACCCTTGCTGAAGCTATCGAGCAGCTCAGTATTCCGCGCCTAAAGCAGACACGACCAATTCCCAGTTTCAGAGGCCAGCTTACACTCGGCGATACCTCGAAGTTCGATGCTACACTTACCATCGATGTCGAGCGATATCCATGCACTATGCTTGCCAAACCACCAACAGCAAGCTCGTTCGTCGTTCGGACAGATTTAGGCGCGGCCGGACCGAGTAACGGAGAGCCTATGGAAGGCATAGTTGGTGAAGACCATCCTATGAGCGATTTGGCAGCTGTACGAAGCCAGCGAGGATACCAAGTTAACGACCCCGACGAGCCAGGCGCCAAGAAGAACGTGGAAATGGAGGAGCTCGAGAAGGGATACGAGTACGGCAGGACGGCAGTCCACATCGCCGAATCTGATATGAACGTTGTCAAACTCGAAACCCAACCCTCGTTAGAGCTCATCGGTTTTGCTAGAGAAGAGGAGTTCGAACGGTATTTGCCCATGAGCCGAACAAATTACATCGTACCCCAGAAAGCGAACCAGCAAGCTCAGCTAGCGCTTTCGTCTTTCATACACGCACTGTTCGAGGGCGGTTTGTATGCAGTTGCGCGTCTGATCACAAAGGAAAACAAGCCTCCCGTTATCATCCTGCTCGCGCCACGGATTGAGCCAGACTTCGAATGCTTGGTTGATGTGGAGCTGCCTTTTGAGGAAGACATGCGTCGATACAAGTTTCCACCACTAGACCGTAAACTCACAGTGAGCGGCAAGGTCATCACGGAACATAAAGACCTACCGAATGCGGATCTGACCGCCGCAATGGACGCTTACGTGGACGCTATGGATCTGTCAATATTCGCCGAAGACGAAGACGGCAATCCAGACGAGTATGCAAAGCCAGAGGACACATACGCGCCGCTCGTGCACCGCATCAACCACATCATCAGGTGGCGGGCCACACATTCTGATCCCACCTTGACCATACCTGACCCACCTGAAATTCTCAAGAAGTACTCCGAGCCGCCAACAGAGCTCGTCGAGCGCTCGAATCGCACACTCGAGTCTCTCCGAGTGGCAGCAGACGTCAAGAAAGTGCCGCCAAAGGTCAAAGGACGCGGCAAGCGCAACCGTACCGAGCGTGAAAAGCCAATCTCCGGTCTAGATGTCGATGCGCTTCTAGGAAATCCAACGCAAGTCCAGATTGACCCAGCAAATCTTGTGCCGAGCTTCAAGCAGGCGCTTGCCGTCACTGACGACCTTACCGCCATACAGTCCGCTGCAGACGCTATGGCGAAGGAGATTCGCAACTTAGTCAAGAACAGCGTGGGCGAGAGCGCTTACGGCCGAGCACTCGAAGCACTCCGTGTCATGCGTGATGAGCTGACTGAGCTCGAGGAGCCGGAAATGTATAACGACTTCGTACGAGGGTTCAAGAAGGAGCTTCTCGAAGACGCGCTGAACGGGGACCGAAGAGAAATGTGGTGGAGACTACGAGGAGGCAGGTACGGTTTGATCGATCAGAAGAGGTCACTGGTTAGCGACGTCACGGAGAAAGAGGCGGATGAATTCTACAAAGCTTAGGTGGCTATTGTGACACATCGTCCCGCCAGGCGTTGAAGCGGAATTTACGAGCGTTAAAACTATGCGCTCCAGATGAGGCTAAGAACGCGGCGTTGCTCGGTCGAGAGCAAATGAGTCTGACATTTGGCAGACGGGAAAAGTAGCTTTATGACGGGAAGCGCATTGGAGGTTGACGGTGGATACACATCGAGACAGCCATCTCTCTGGGTTCCGCCGCTTATATCTGCAACAATCTTTCGTGCAACCACGCTTCCAAACCACTCCACATAGCAGTCCCTTTCCCTTCCTTCCGAAGCTTCTCACAGAATCGTTGTAGCTGCACACACCGATCCTTGACCCAAGTCTTCCTGTCCTGCTCGCTGCCGTTAAACCCCTCCACGGCAATAGCATGACTGATCTTGACCTCACATACAGGGCACAAATACGGTGGCTGTCTCACATCCTCCTTCATCCCTGCGGTACCCTGCAAGTTACACGCATAGTACACACAATGATCAAACGCAAAGCAATGCGCAATCTCATGGCTCACCGTCCTAGCGAGTCTCGAGAACCAGAGCGCATCCCCATCCTCCTCACCTTTAGGAGCACGCGCCCAAGCAGATGCCGCATCAACAGCCCCGCGCATCGGCCCAGATCTGCCCTCTCTGATCTGGCGTTGTGTCGGCTTCCGAGGCTCCAGATCCTCCGGCGAACACATCTTGTCAACGAACTCTTTGCAGTGACTCAGAGGCCACATATGCTCTCTATCAATCCCCTCTCTTGTATCGAGAGAAGGATTGTACCGTGCACTCTGGACGACGCAAACCCTGCTCCCGCCGTATGCGCGGCCACAGCAGAAGTCATCGTCGTCATCCTCCCACATATCGTGATCTATTAGCAGACAGATCGCGTGCGCATCGTCCGGAAGAACCCTCATAGCGCCATCCAGGATGTCATCGAGGTTGAGTTGTACTGGGAAGACACCGTCTGGCGCGCTGCGAGTGCGGACGCGCGTCCTCTCTTCGCTGTACTGGAGAGCGACATATCTTGGAATCGATCTTTGCAGTTGCGGCTTGCGACTCGCATACCAAGAGGTCCATTTGAGTTGGATTGGTAGCTCTCTGACTTGCATGCCGTGGTAGAAAGCGCTAAGGTATTCGATGAAGTCTTCGACCTGGGGGCTGCGCGCTCCCCTGGACAAGTCGTCGTCAGAGGACAGATTCGGCATGGTCCAGTCATACTTGTATTTGACTTGTTCCGTGATCTTTGGTATGCGGGCTATGTAAATTGTCTGTCTGGATTCAACGACTTTGTTCCTTGTGTGGTGTTGGAGCCAGTCAGTAAAACCCTGTGGCTCGTGATCAGGATCATAGTTGAGATCGTCGAATGGCAGTACCAACGGAGCGGGAAATATCGAGACCAGGTCGTTCGTCTTGAGGGATGTTTTCTTTGCTCTATTTTTCCTGGCTGTAGCTACTATGCGCTCTTCAGGGGACGGTTGTGTATACCCTGCGAGCTCTGCAAACGGTGAGGGTGTAAGCTGGAGGACTTCGTGCTTGCATTCTGCCATCTCGGTTGCTGAATAAGTGGAAAGGAGGATGTGGGACTCTTGTCTGCATATTGTAGGGTTGTAAGTTATTGGCGCCTAGTATGTGGCTGTAACTGTATATTAGTGGCTTTAACCTACAACGGATAAGCTCATTGTGTTGGTATCCTATTACGGTAGGTGGGTTGCCTGACAAAGCCACATAAGAACAACCCTTGGTCAAACATCAATTGTATGTGTATTGTCGGTCTCAAACTCGAACATTCACTGCCAAGATATGTACAAAGAAATCCCAGGATTACTCCAGCCAAATACGAAGCGTCTGCCCAATATGAGGGCGATACGTCTAGTTCCTGAACTTGACAGAGGCGGACCTGCCAGCAAGTGCAGAGAGTTTCCCAATGCCAGCTACGTTGGGAACCCTAGCCGCGATCTCGGAAGCAGTCTTAGCACTGGCAACAGTCTGGCCCTTGAAATCGCCGAAGAAGCCAGTGTCCTTCTTGCTGGTCAAAGAGCTGG